TCCCACCAGCTCTGGGGTGGGGCGCACTGGCGCCTTCTGCCTGATGTACGCAGCAATGCAGGAGGTGGAGGCCGGGAACAGCATCCCTGACCTGGCCCAGCTGGTGAAGAGGATGCGGCAGCAGAGGAAGCACATGCTGCAGGAGAAGGTAATGTGCTGGGGGGGGAGGTGGGGGCCCAGGCACCTGGTTCAGCAGTGCCTTTGAATGGCACAGTCTGCTCGGCTCTGGCCACTCCTGGCACCTGGGTGTGTCTGGGCTCAAGGGATCTCGCCGGCTGCTTCTCTTCCAGCTGCACCTCAAGTTCTGCTACGAAGCCGTCCTCAAGCACGCCGAGCAGGTGCTGCAGAGACACGGGGTCACCACGCCGGCTTCCAGCAAGCCCCCCAGCAGTGCTGCCCAGAAGGTGGGTACCGGCGCTGGGCAGAGCGGGGCTCCGGAGACATCCTCCCCTGGGCCCCTGTGGCCAGAGCCTGGCAGCACCAGGCCGAGCGGCCTCACTGCGCTGTTTCTGGTGGCTGATCTACGCTGACTGGAGCAGGGCAGTCTAGTCTCCAGGCGGGGGCCGGCTGGGCCTGTCTGAGGGAGGGGTCTGGGCTGACCTCTTGGTTCTCTTTCAGCTGTACCTGCATCAGGACCCGCAGGACCTGGTGCTGGGCGGGGACATGCCCATCAGCTCCATCCAGGCCACCATTGCCAAGCTGAGCATCAAGCCCCCCGGGGGCGGCCCGGAGCCTCCCCCAGACTGGCAGCTGCCCGAGCCAGCAGCAATGCTCGAAGCTGCGAGCCCAGGGGCGGTTCCTGCAGCACCCGCCAGCGTCGCCCAGCCCAGCCTGACGGAGCACGTGCCCCCCACCAGTGCCGAGCTGCCCCCCACCATGCCCGTGCCGCCGCCCGAAGCCGAGAGCAGCAACCATGTGGAGGAGAGACCCAGCAGGGAGCCTTCAGCCACAAGCCTGGCTCCTTCCTCTTCCTCGCTGGAGCTCCTGGCCTCGCTGACCCCTGAGGCCTTCTCCTTGGACAGCTCCCTGAAGGGCAAGCCGCGGATGAACAAGCAGAGCTTCCTGCAGCCCCAAAACGGGGAGGGGCTGCGGGGGCCCCGGCCCAGCGACGACCCCCTCAGCATGCTGGACCCGCTGTGGACACTGAATAAAACCTGAGCGGGGGGGGGCCCGGCCCGGCTCTGGGGACATGGGCACGCACAGCCCCTCCCTGGCCACGCCAGCACGGCCTGTGGGGAGCCCCCTAGCGTGATGGCTGGAAACTGGGGTGTTGGACCACAGCCTCTGTCCCCGCTCAGCCCTGGCTGCAGAGAGGGGTGAGAAATGCACACACAGCACTACATGCCAGCTCCCCACTCAGTGCCTGGGCCCCCCTGGCAGCTAGCCCGGGGTGACCCCCACGGCACGGAGAGCCAGCCATTCCCCAGCCCCTCCAGCCCCAGCCCAGCTGTCCTGCACCAGGCCAGGGCTGCTGCTTGTCCCAGAGCCCCTCCTGGTGGGAGACTGGCCTTGGGGCAGCAGAGGCGGCCCCTGTCCCTTCTGGCACAGCTGGCCCCACTGCTGCTCCTGCCTTGGGCCAGGAGCCGGCCCTGCAGTGCCCCTGCACTTCCATTCACAGACCCCAGGGGACGGAGCTGAACAGGTGCATGGCCCAGAGCCTAGGCTGCTGGAGCCTGGCGAACGGATCTGCGCTGTGCCCCCGGCGGCTCTCCAGGCAGGTCCCCTCGGCTCGGATGCTGGCCGAGAGCCCCCAGCTGCAGTGAGGCTTGTCCCAGCCGGGGGAGGGACGTCCGGCTCTCGGGCTGCACCATGGCTCCCTGCTCCTCCTCGCGGTGCCCACTTGCCTGTCCCTGCTTCTTGCTCTGGCGCTGGGCGAGAGCTGAGCAATTCCCCCCCACCCTGGCCCAGGCATGTGGTGGCACCTCCCTCAGCGCTTCTCTCTCCTAGCTTCTGCCTCAGTGTTGCCCCCTGGGCTGCACAGCGTGTACTGCAGGCTTCCCCCTCCACGAGGCGCACACCCTGCTGCTGGGACGCCTGGGGTCTGTCTCCTGCTGTGGTCGGCCAGTTGTGAAGGGCAGGGGGTTGGTACAGCGTGGGCAGGGGCTGGGCCTGGCGCTCTGCCGAGTACAAACTCCGGGCCTGGGGCAGGCGGCTGATGCAGTTTTGCAGCTGGGTTTGCTGGCAGCAGGGCTGGGGAGGGGGGAAATCGTAGCTGTGAGTACAGGGGGAGCTGCTGCATGCGGTGGGGGGGGATTGGCGCACGTGACAGTAAATCGGTGATGGGTCATTCCTGGGGTCTGAAATAGCTTTGATTCTCTGCACCTTGCCCCGAGCTCTCACCGCTGGGCGCGAGGTTTTCTTGCCGAGGCGCTAGCCGGCTCGCGCTGGAAGCCCAGAGGTGAGATGGGGCACGGGCCGTGCATGGAAATGGATTCAGTGTCCACCCCCTGGGGCTGCTGGGATTCCAGCTGGGGGGAATCCTGGTGCTGCTGGGTTGGGTTCTCCTGCGCAGAGCTTATGGGAAGGCGCCAGAGGACGGATGCTCCTGGGCAGGACCCGGGGGTGGCAGCCAGGCCAGCTGCTGCCCAGGAGCTGGGCTTGTTCTCTGTTGAGCTATGGGGACTGGCTGGAACTGGCAGCAGCAGGAGACCAGGTCAGCGTGTCCTTAGCAAGCCCATTACGGCGGGGGGATGGGACCTCGATTGCTTAGCTAACTAGTTCCCACCCGCGGCTTGCCTGCTGGGGCTCTTGGGTGCATCTCATACTGTACAGCGCCCCCTTCCCCCCAGGCTTCAGTGCTGGGCCCTGTGGGTGCTCCTGCGTGTGCCTCCCGCAGCCTGGGCTGGGCAGTGCAGGCCAACCACGGAGCCGAGCGGCGCCGGGCAGAAATGGCCACGGTGCATGGCCCTGGAGCGTGTGCTGCCGGTGCCCCTTGGAGCTCTCGGTGCCTCTGCTTTTGTACAAATGTAACATTGTCCGTCCCCATGTTCTGATCTGACTCTGTAATTAGAACTGACTTTTTCAGCTCTTTGCTACTCCAATAAATGGACAATTTGCTCTGGAGCCGTAGTGGGAGTTGTGGACCTGAATTAAACCCTGGTGGTGGTTGGGGATGGGGGAATCCTGTGCCATGGCCAAGCTGGGAAACAGCTGTGGCACAGAGCCCCTCTCCCCCTTTCCTGTTGGACGGCCTGCGGGATTTTCTAAGCCAAGTGGGGCTGGAGCCTGAGCTCACCTCCCGGTGCTTCCTCCAGGCACCTGTTGGGCGGTGGGCTTTCCTAAGTGCCAAATCACCTGCTCACCAGCTCCCAGCTGCAGACGGACTGAGGCAATGGGTCTAGGCCAAGGTGCAAGATAGTACGGCTGGGGCGAAGGACTGGGGCTGTGGCATGGCTCTCTCAGGGCCCCTGGGGATTGGAATCACAGGGCCTTTTTTTCCAGCGCGTGCCTCGTGTGAGGTACTTAGACCCCCAGTCGCCCAGATGTAAGTGAGAGGAAGTAGGTAAAGCATCGGGTGGGGGTGCCCCAGAACCATGCAGCTCACGCTGGCAGGACTGTTTTCTACAGGGCTTTCAGGGGGGTGGTAAATAGCAGGGTCTCCCAAGGAGCTGTCTGGGGACCAGGGCTGGTCCCTGTATTCAGCAAGAGCTGGAAAGGGGCCAGTGAGGTGGCAAAACTTGGAACAGATACACAATTATTCAAGCTCAAGTCAAAAGCTGTTGGGAGTGTTAACAAAGAGCTGGCATGTGTCTGGGTGACAAAAATGGCAGCTGAAATTCAATGCTTCTATATGCAAAGTAATGCACATGGGCAGACATCCCCATGCCAGCTCTAAATCAGCTGTTACTACTCAAGAAAAGGCTGGTGGTGGCAGCATGGATAGTTCTGGGAAAGCAGCGGCCTAGAGGGCGGTGGGAGGCAAACAGCTGACAATGAGGAAAGAGTGACTAAAACCAGACACTCTACTACCCTACTATAACTCCACAGTACGCCCACAGCTCAGAAATCTACACTACCATTCAAAACAGGCCAGTGCAGGAAAACTAACGAGGGGCCTGGACTAGAATCCTTTGAAGGTGTGATTACAAAACCTGGGTTGGGTTAGCTTATAGCCATGCCAACGAAGGGGGGGACTGTGACAGAGGGCTATAAACTCATGAGTGGTGTGGAGGAAGTGTTTTTTACCCCTTCACATAACTCAAGAATCTGAAGGGGGGGAGGGGGTGTCCCCCAATGACATTAATAGGCAGCAGGTTTAAAAGGAAGCACTTCATGCAACAGGCAGGCAACCTGTGGAACTCCTTGCCAGGGGACAGGGCGAAGGCCAAAATGACACTAATGTTTAAGACCGAATGAGCAGGCCATGGAGGCTAGGTCCATTGACCGCTATCAGCCACAAGGGTCAGGGATACAACCCCATACTCCGGGTGTCTTAAGGCTCTGCCTGCCAGAAGTAACTGGCCCATTAGGCTGGCTGTTCTTATGGGTAAAAGCCTGCGTCAAACAGCAGCGCATGGTTCTGCTAAGCAAACGAGCTGATCTGTAGTGGGAGGGGCCCTGGGCTAGTCACCTGGGATGTGCCGTCACAGCATGGGCAGCGGGGGGCCATGGAGCAGCACAGGGCACAAGGTGAGGTGCTCAGCCAGCACCCCAGGCCGTACCCCCGTCCCTCTGCAGTGCTGGCAGGGGGGTGATGCCGAGCTAGTGCGAACGCAGTCACTCATGGGGCCCATTGCACTGAAGATTCCCTGAGTGTTGAGCTGCCCATGGCGTGGGCTGGCGCCTCAGCACTCAGAGCCAGTCTTTGGGGTGGGGGTAAAGGTCAGCCCAGCCCCTGTGCGCACTGGCAGGGCTGTCGCTACGTGTTTCACCTGTGGGACAGCAGAGAGCTGCTCCCTGCCAAGCCCCAGGAAGTGCTGCGCTGCGTTTGCCGCTGACGCATTGCAGAAGCCGGCGCTGTCAGCCAGCCCCCGGAGTAGGGAGCAGGCGGAGCCGCTGGGTTTCGGTTAGTTTGGTTTAATGTGTCTTTGTACAGGTTATAAAACACAATCTGGTACAAAAAAGCTTCCACTGTACAGTACAAAGCGTACAGCAGGGCTAAGGCCACCCGAGGCAGGACAGACACAGCCAGGGCATCAGCAAGCGAGCACACGGGCTCAGGAGCAGGCCCCCCCCCCCAAAGCTGCTTGCAGCAGTGGTTGGACTTTCAGGGGCCAGCTTGCTCCCAGACTGCAGGTCCCACCAGAGCCACGGCCTTGTCTGGGCCCTCAGCTCGCCTGCCCCACGGCTGAGGCGGGCGGGAGGTTAGTTCTCAGCAGCACTCGGCCTCAGTGGGTCTCTACAGGCACAGCATTACATCACACACAAACAGGCGCTTGAGCAGCACGTCCTGCTGTCAAACATGTAGAGTGAAATAAACCCTTTGGGATCCTCACCTGTAGGGCTCCCCCCAGCTACTGACCAATGGCCTCACAAGGCCAGGCCGCACGGCTAGCCAAGCCAGGCTCCCACCCCCCTCCCCAGCTTCCTGCTCTCTTTGCAAAGCGTTCACATGCTGTGGTCACCACAGGCCAGGCTTTCCCCAGAGCAGACACTAGACTGGCGAGCAAGCCAGGAGGCGGCCCTGGGGAACCCCTCTGCCACCTCTCCCAGTGCTAGTACTGAGGACAGACATGGTGCCTGTTCCCCTGCATGTGGCTCCGTGGCCTGGGAAGGTGCCTTTTCCCATTCCCAGGGAAACTGGAGGCTCCTGTATGCGTGCCCAAGGCAGGTTCAGGCTCCCTCGGGCTGTGGTTTGTGCTGAGCAGAGGTGGTGACTGCTCCGACAGCAGCGATGGAAAAGCCCTGCTTGGTTCCATGGCACGTGCTGGCTGTTGGGCCTGCAGCCATCTCCCCTGGGGAGGGCTTCACAGCCCATCGGTGTCTGGACAGAGGGGCCCTGCCCATGGGGTCAGGAAAGCTCAATGGCTGGCCCCCAAGCAGGGGGCGATGGTGCAGCCGCCCTCCTCCAGAGACCAACAAAGCCAACCACTTACTGGGGGCGGGGGGGTTTCTCTGGCTGCCCCAGTTCGCAGCCCCTACGCGCATGTCCTGTCCCAATGCATGCCCCTTTATTGTGCCAGCAGCCAGAGGGTTCAGCTGCCCCCGGCTCATGCCAGGACTCTGCTCTGGGCTGTCCTGGAGCCAGGCTCCTGGTGCCCCAGAGCAGCAGGGAGCTGCCGGCATTTGCTGCAGTTGGGACAGCGCTGGCCATGGGCTGCAGGCCGCCCCCGGCTCACCCACCGTAATAAATAAGTATATACAGCATAGCAATAAATAGGGCAGGTGATGTGGGCGTACAGGGCTCGCCAGGGCAGACCCCAGCATGCCCTTCTCGTTCCAAGGCAGGGAGACGGAGCCCAGTGCTAATGCAGGAGGGAGAAGGGGGGGAGTTGGTCAGCATCTGCTTTTTCCCGCTGCTCAACTCGCCCCCTCCCCCCTGCCCAATCGGCCACCAGCTCTGCCCCCCTTTTCTGTGACCAGGCAAGTAAAGGGAGCTGGTTAATGGCGCCTGCTTGAGCTACAACAGCCAGTGAATTAACATCCCCCGCCCCGCCCCGCCCTGCACGCTGTCACAGCCCAAGCCAGGCGAGCAGGGGATCCCCCTGGGCCAGCGAGCCCATGCCCACAGCTGAAGGCTCTGGCCCCGGCACCCCTCCCTGGGCAGGGCCCGCACCTGCAGGCAGCACTGGGGAAGCACAGGGGCAGTGGGCATTGAATGCCAGCCAGGACACAAGGGGAGGGCTGAGGCCCCATCCCCTCTAGGGTCTAAGCTGCCCTTATTCACTGCAGGAAATGCCCGTTGGCCCTGGGCGGGATTTCACTTGCCTTAGGGGGACACACTGTAACGTACACGGCCCCTGCCCTGCCCTGCCTTGTGGGGCACAGGCCTTGCTGGTAGAGGGGAACCAGGACCCAGGCCTGGCACCCGTGTCGGTACAGCACCTCGCACAGTGGGGCTACGGCCACCCTAGCAATGCCGGCGCGGGCTCCCTCTCCCCGTGCTGGAGAGCCCCGTGGCTGACCTGGGCAGTGCCCCCCCTAAGCACTGGGCCACGTTCTCCAGGTGTTCGTGTCTTCAGGAGGCAGGGCAGGGTTTGCCTGCTTCACAGCTGCAGAAACATCCCACGGAGAGCGCCAGGCCCCTTCTGGAGGCAGCAGTCAAGCCCAGCCTTGAACACAGCAGGGCCAGGCTCCCCATCCCACAAACAGACCACTAGGCCCCGCCCTGCCCGCAGCCTCCTCCCCAGCTGGAGCAGGAGTTCCCAGGTCTACCGTCACAGCCCCTTGGGCACTGTGCCCCCATGCTTCCCAAGCCCACGGCATTGCACGGCCCAGGCTCTGTTAAGCCCCATCCCACTGACGGTTCCTCGGTCTTCTGGCCACCTGCTGTGCAGTCCGGCCCGCTGGTAGCTTCCCCAGGGCATCCCCCAGCTGGTGACAGCACCGGCTTCCTGCCCCACGGGCCCGTCCCCACTGAGCTCTGCTGCAGCCCCAAGGGAGGAACTGACCTGCGGAGCAAGAGCAGGGCGGGGGGATGCCTGGGGTGGGGGGGCCACAGGCAGAGCAGGGCTCAGCCCCACCCAGGCAGCTGCAGGGGGAGCGCCTGGGATCCAAGGAGCTGGGGAGGAGGAGGAAGGGAGGGAGAAGCAGCTCCTGGAGCTCCTGCCCTGTCCTCCCACCCCAGGCGCTGTCCAATCAGAACTCAGATACGGCAGCCCGCAGGGCCCAGCTCCGCCCCCTCAGTCCAATTTCTCCAGCACCGAGGGCACGTAGACCAGGCTGAGCTCGCTGCCGAAGTTGCAGACAATGGCGGCATTCTCCAGCACCAGGATCTGCCGGGCCGGCTGCGACTCGTTGCTCTTCCCCAAGTAGACGGTCTGCAGCAGGTCGCCGTAGCCGATGTCCCAGAAGGAGACACAGCCCTGGCCTCCCGTCACCAGCAGGTTATCGGAGATCACTCCCAGGCTGGCCCCGCACCCCAGGTCCTGCGCCAGGAACAGAGAGGAGAGTGTCAGAGATGGCGCCTGCCAGTCAGGCACCTCGCGGCCCTGCAATATGGCCCCCAGCAGTGTCACAGCAGGCAGGGAAAGGTGCTGGACTGAGCCCTGGGGCCATGGCTACAGGACAGGCCCAGCTGTCCCCATCAGTGCATCTCCCTGCACCAGAGGGGCCACTTTGTCAGGCCCAGGGCAGAGACCAGCTGTCCCGTCCTGCAGGCTCAGCGCAGGAGCAGCAGGGGGTGCTGCAGGCAGTGGGGGAGCTGGGGGAGCCTGGTCTGGGATCCAGCGACTGGCCTGAGACCCGGGCTCAGCTTTCTGCTCTGCCGGCCTCCCCGGGGGCCTCGAGCAAGTCCCTCGGTCCATCTCCACAAGGCTGATCCTAGTCTGTGCTCAGCTCCCCGCTGCCCGACGGGGGGAACCGCCTGGCCCTGCCTCGGGGGGGCTCCGACATGACGGTAATGGGGGCCCAGGGAGGGGTCTGGGATCGGGGGGCCCCCAAACCTTTCCATGCCGGGCCCCCTTCGGGCGCAGCCCTGGGGCAGTGACACCAACTCAGATCGTTCTTGGGGGGGGGGGGGGGAGAGATTCTTCATCCCTGCCCCCCTCCCATCCCACATCTGGCCCTGCTTCTCCCCTGTCCACATCCATCCCTGCCCCCTCCCATCCCACATCCGGCCCTGCTTCTCCCCTGTCCACATCCATCCCTGCCCCCTCCCATCCCACATCCGGCCCTGCTTCTCCCCGGTCCACATCCATCCCTGCCCCCCCATCCCACATCTGGCCCTGCTTCCCATCCCCCCGTCCCACATCTAGCCCTGCTCCCCCCCATCCCTGCTCCCCGCCCTGTCCACATCCAGCCTTGCTCCCCTCCTCCCCCTCCCTTCCCTGCCCCCCATCCCACATCCAGCCCTGCTCCCTTCCTCCCCCTCCCTTCCCTGCCCCCCCATCCAACATCCAGCCCTGCTCCCCCATATCCCCCCGCATTCCTGCTCCCCACCCAGTCCCACATCCGGCCCTGCTCCCCCACCCCCCAGGGGTCCCTGCGAGGAGTTGCTGTGGCAGCCCAGAGCTCACAGATGCTCCGACAGTGGAGCAGACTCCCTGCCCCCGCACCGCAGCTCCCTGCCAGGCTGGGGTGGGGCGGGGGAACACACAACTCATTTCAGCACCACGAGCCCTGGGATTCTGCTGCCAGTGGCAGGGTCCAAGCTCTCCGCAGCCGACTCCATGCAGCTCCACTCCCTGCCTCGGGGTAGGTCCATAAACAACCTCCTGCCCATCCCACACGGCTCCCCGCCTCCCCCCCCACCTCCCGGCTGGCAAACGCGGTCTGAGCTGGGGCAGTGAGGGGCCTGAGCTGGGCTAGGCAGGCGTGGCTGGCCTGGACAGAGCTTGCGCAGCATCTGCCCTTGGAACAAGGAGCCCCCCACCCCCCCAGCGATCTGACCACAGAACTAACCCCCCCAGCAGACACATGCCCCACAACGCTCCCCACGGATCAGGGGCGTCGGCAGCTCCCGGCCCCCCGCCTGGGCCCTGCACCTGCCTGCTGGATGGAATAGAGTTTGATCCCAGAGCTTCGGTCCCAGATGCTGATCACGTCATCCAAGCCACTGCTGATCACACAGGAGGTGGTGCAGGTCAGCGAGGTGACGTCCCCACGGTGGGCGTACATGTGACTGACCCTGCTTCCTGTCAGCACGTCCCAAAGGCAGATGGCGCCATCCTGGCCCCCGCTCGCCAGCCCCATCGTCTGCAAGGACACGGGCCAAGAGTCTGAGCAGTGACCCCTGGGGCGGCCCTCCCCAGCGTCCATCCCCTGGCACTGCAGGGGGCACTGCAGCACGGCTCACTCACTCCTACCCGGGACAATGGGGTTCCCATCCAGGCGCCTCCCAGTGCTCAGAGCAACACCCCCCCGTAGGCTTTAAAGAGCCATGGTCTCTGTGGCTAGGCCTGTAACCGGCAAGGCTGGCGTCTGGCACATTCCCCTTACTGCCTACGGTCAGAGAGGAGGCCCAGGCCAGCAGAGGGGGGCAGAGGGCCCCAGGTTGTTACTGGGGGGTTGCAAAGCACACCGTCTGTTGTTAAACAAAGCCAGGTTTGCAGCAAGTCACAGTGCCAGGCCTCCAGCAGACAGCTCCTGCCCAGACGGGCTGCAGAGGGCCTGGTGCGGTGCCCAGCCTGTGCCCATCCCCACACACGGCAGCCCGGAGCATGCTCCCAGGGAGATGAGCCCAGCTAAGGCCAGCTCCCGTCGGGGCAGTACTTCTCACAGCGGGGTAGACCCCCTCAGAGCTGCGCCCCCATCACGCCTGCCAGCCTGGGCACTCAGGGCCACGCCAGCCCCCAACCCAGAAAGTGCCACCTGTAGGAACAGGGATCCCCTGCCTGAAGCAAACGGTGCTCTGGCTGGGAGGGTGAGTCCGACCCTCCTCATCTCCTAGCGCACCGGCTGGCTGCCTGCCGTAACGTAGCCCACTGAGGGGAGGCCCCGAACCCGGCCCATGCCCCGAGCTCTCCGGCTAGGCGCACAGCACTGGTGTCCGCGTTCAGGGCCTCAGGGCCGTACCTGGTCTATGTACACGGCTGTGATTGCTCCTGAGTGACCCTGCAATGTAAACAAGCAGCACGAATCTTCCAGCCGATATACCTGCAGGGGAGCGAGAACACAGCCTGAGGCAGCGAGCTCTGAACCGCCCACCCCGCTAGAGCAGCAGGGCTCTCGTCTGTAACCCCCATGGGAGCCCTTCCTCACCACCGGGTCTCTGCCCCACCTCCCCGTTTGCACCGGCAGCTTGGCATTAACACGCCGGTTTGGCTTACTCCCTTGGTGCACTAGTGTCTTCATGGAGATGGCCCAGCAGAGGGCGCTCCAGAGCCCAGGGCTTGGCAGTGATGTCATCCCGGAGTCCCCTCCTCACCCTCAGTGACCCTCCAGGGCAGAGCGTTCTGCAGGCAGCACCTGGGCGCCCGGGGAGGCCAGAGGCAGTGCCGCGGCTGGCAGCTCTCATGGCCCAGGCCACATTTCTAGATAGACGCAGCAGGAGCCGTGACCCAGGGGCTCAGCGAGGGGCTCTGGCTTGCAAACCCGCAATGGACCGGGGCCATGTGCAGAAGGGCAACTCCAGCGTCCGCCCGCAGAATCTGGAGGGCAATGGATTGACATCATTCTGCCAAGCCAACCTCATCGGTGCCTGGCCCGCACACGGACACGCCCCGTACACGAGTACTCCGCTCCGCACACGGACACGCCCCGTACACGTGTACTCCACTCCGCACACTGACATGCCCCGTACACGAGTACTTCGCTCCGCACACGGACACGCCCCGTACACGAGTACTCCTCTCCGCACACTGACACGCCCCGTACACGGGTACTCCTCTCCGCACACTGACACGCCCCGTACACGAGTACTCCGCTCCGCACACGGACACGCCCCGCACACGAGTACTCCTCTCCGCACACTGACACGCCCTGTATACGGGCACTCCGCTCCGCACACGGACACGCCCCGTACACGTGCACTCCGCTCCGCACACGGGCACTCCGCTCCGCACACTGACACGCCCCGTACACAAGTACTCCGCTCCGCACACGGACATGCCCCGTACACGAGTACTCCTCTCCGCACACGGACACGCCCCGTACACAGGTACTCCTCTCCGCACACGGACACGCCCCGTACACAGGTACTCCTCTCCGCACACGGACACGCCCCAAACACAAGTACTCTGCTCCGCACACTGACACACCCCCACGTGTATTCCTCTCCACACATGCGTGCCTACCAACCCATCAGCCCCATGACAGATGCTCATGTGCTAAGAGCCCCGCCCCGTACTAACAGCCTGCTCACACCCGCCCCGCCAGCCCGTGGCCCTACTGGGGAGACCCATGGCAGGGGAGCACTTACTTTCAGAGTGTGGTCCTGGCTGCCTGTCACCAGCCGCCCAGCCGCAGCCTTCAGTGCCGTGATTGGCTTCTGATGGGCGCAGGACACCGTGTGGGTCAGCTGGCACATGATGAGGTCATTGCTGCTGCACATGGGGGAGGACGGGATGCTGCTCCTGCTAGGGGTTCCTGGGGGAGCACACACACAGCGGGGGCGGTGGGCACTGCAGCCTTCCACACATGGGCCAGCACGCCCAAGAGTGGCCGCGGAGGGTGGTTGCCCCAGTTTTGGAGGCCCAACCTGAGACACCCGGGGTCTGATTTTCAGCACAGCTGGGCACCCATTGTTCCAGCGGGGGCCATCGGAAGCGGCAGTGCTCAGCACCTCAGAGAGGTGGGCCTGGGGGTCTCCAGGTGGGCCCCCAAATCGGTGGCCACTTCTGAGTAAATCTGCTGCTGGAGACCAGTGCCCTGGGATTACCCAGCAGGCAGGCCCAGCGCAGGCAGCACCGCCAGCTTCTCTGCCCCTGCGGGAAGGAAGGGCTGTGCCCACGGCCCGTTCAGATCTTCACCTCTCTGCATGGGCTGTGCTACAGGTCAGAGTCCATCCACCCCCCCCCACAGCTCCCCTCCCCACCGGCCCACTCCCAAGTGGAGGGAACCATCGTGCACTGGCAAGGAGCTGGGCTAGCTCACCATCCCAGAGCAGTGGCACCTCCAGGCTTCAGCTGAGATCAGGGCCCCTGAACAAACTCCCAGGGACAGACAGGCCCTGGCCTGAAAAGCTCACAGTCTAACTGGACAAGACAGACAAAGGGGTCAGAAGGGAAACAGAGGCACACAGCGGAGCTGGGAACAGAACTCAGGTCTCCCGAGTCCCGCTCCAGTGCTCTGTCTGTTGGATCAGTGCCACAGACCCAGAGCCTCAAAGGTACTGAGGTATCTCAGTGCCATCGAAATCAATAGGAGTTTGGCACCTGAACTGGTTTACAGATCTGGGCCGTTTTCCCTCCCAGGCGCTCGCTTACCTCGGAACTGCAGGTGATTGTAGGATGAGTGGGTTTCTAAAGAGAAGAAATCCAAGGAGCCGTTCAGCCTGGCAGCCACAATCCTGGGAGAGAGAAATAGACAAAGGTGAGGAGAGGCCTCTACTCCATCCCCACAGGAGCCCTGGAGGCTGGACGACTCCAGCTGCAGAATAAGGACAACACCCAGATTTCCCTGGCTCCTGGCGCCCATGTGACCCAGCCACCACCTGGAGAGGGGCAGTGGGAGGGTCAGTCTCCAGGCCCCAGTCTGCCAGCAAGGGGGGACAGTCCTGGGCGGTGGCTTTTGTGATGAGGTTTCCCTTGGAAACTAGACTGAGACCAGATCACCGAACAGCTGACAGATGGGAACAGCTCGACTGGCACCCAGCTGGGCTGGATGGGAGCTGGGGACCTAGGGAAAGGCTCTGTATACCGGTCTCCTGAACCACCCAGCACCCGGTGGAGAGGTTAAATACGCGGAGGAGAAGAGGCTACTGGGCACATGGGTACCAAGAACTCTAGGACTGCCAACCCTGCATTTCAAAAAGAAGGGAGTGTTTTCTTAGCACCCCACCCCACCCCTCCTCCCGCTATTGTTAACACCACTAAGCAGGACTCGGCTGCCTTCGCCAGGGGTATTTCTTGCTGTTTGTTGTAGCACTCAGCTGCTCCCGATCTCGTTGTACGGAGACGAAGAAATAAGGGACGCCCCTTGGAATGAGAGACGGTTGGCAACCCACTGCTCTCAGCCAGAGCCCCAGGGCTGCGGGCGAGAAAGGGGAGCTCACAGCTCTGTCTGCCACAACCCGGAGTGGCCTGCATCACCTCCCCTGGACCCAGACAGCTGGGCTCCTGCCTTCACAGCCTCCTCCCTGGCGAGATCCCTGGGGAGGGCGTTACCTGTTGTTCAGGAAGACGAGTGCTGTGATTCCGGACTGACCCTCCTCGTTACAGCACCGCAAGGTCCCCTCGATGGCATCCCACACCTGGAAGAGAGGCGGAGTTACAGGGAGCCGGGGGAGGAGTCCCTGCCTCGCAGAGCGGCTGGCCAGGGGGAATTCAAGTGGTTTGGAATTTAAAATGATTGTAACAATAATGCTGGCTGTGGCCAGGTCCCCTGAGAGCTGGGCCCTTGAAGTAACTATATATGGATCCCCCAATCCATCTCAGTCCTGCCCTGCAGCACCTCCCGTTAGCCCAGTCCTGGGGCCCCCCACTGCTGTTCCTGTTCGCAGTAGAGATGGATTTGCACCAGATTTTGAAGCAATCTTGTGATGCCTGGAGACAACGTTTAGAAGCGAGTTCAGGGCATGGCTATGCTATGCAGACTACACCAGCACAACTACGGAGCCGCAGCCGTGCCGCCATCACCCCGGAGTGTAGTCGCAGCCGCGCCGATGAAGGGGTTCTTCCGTCGCTGCGGGAACACCACCTCCCGGAGCGCCGGCAACTGCATGGATGGATGTGTTCTGGCGACCGAGCTGTGGCTCCACGGGGGCCAGGGTAGCGCAGCTCTGTCAGTCCATGGTGGGGATTTTTCACACCCTGAGCGATGTAGCTTTTCGACCTAACTTTTAAGGGGAGCCCCGGCCGCAGTCAGTCCTTCCCGGCTCCAGCGTGGCAGAGCAGGATGGGAAATGGAAACTCATGTAATGAGCTGTCTAGTGTGTTTGTCACCAGCCCCACCCTGCTGCCCTCGGCCGCCAGGGTGTGTCCTAGGCCCTGTGCGGGTGACAGCAGTCCCTCCAGGAGCTCCGGAGCTGGGGCCCCAGCATTGGGGGCAGGAGGAGTTGGGCCATGGCGTGCCGGTGGCGTACCTGGCTGCAGATCTGTTACCACCTGGCTCTGCAGGAGTTCTGGAAACACCCTAGTACAGCTGCCTTGTGCCCTCACTCACAGGGGTGCCACAGAGGGACCAGTGCTCCGGGACCATGGATGGGTGAGTGTGGAGTGCAGCCTGCTATGACTTTCTCAGTGCCCATGCAGGGGCAGGGAGCCCCCCCACCCTTACCTCCAGCTTCCCATTGCTCCGGCCAGCCACAATGAGGTTGCCCCGCAGGTCCAGGCTCCAGACAGAGCTTTCCAAGTCACCGGCCCACGCAGCGACGGGGGAGGACTTTTCAAATCCGGCCAAAGGCTCGTCCCCTAGGCTCTTCCTGCGGGCACTGCACCCTCCTTCCCCCGTCCCGCAGCTCAGGGCCCTGGTGCTGCCCGTCCTCGCGCAGGAAACGGCCTGCCCGTGCGTGGCCGGGAAGCCGGCGAAGTTCATGCAGTTCGAAGCGTTCTGCTCCTCGTAGACCTTCTCTACCAGTCTGCCGAAGTTGTAGCCAGTGTCCTTGTGCCGGCCGCAGACTGCGCGGTGCCTGGGCTCCGGCTCCACCGCCTTGGCCTGCTCCGAGAAGTTGGTGTCAATGAGAGAGGTGAGGTCCGGCTGGTCGCAGAACAGAGGGGGCTGCGGGGGGCTCAGCAGCCTCTTGAGTGGGTGGCTGTTGTCGAAGGGATCCTCCAGCCCGTTCTTGAGCTCTGGGCTCTGATCCCAGCTCTCCTGGTAATCAAAGACGCCGCTGCTGTCTCTGCGCAACCTGAAATGCAGCAGCTGCAGGTTAGCGCTCCCTTCCGTACAGGCTGGGAGAGGGTGAGGGACTGGCTGGGAACAACAGGCAACAGGTGAACTGTGACTCTACGGAGGGGTGAAAATCACCCCTTTCCTAACAGCTGGGGCAGTGGGGTGTCCTACCAAAAACCGAGAGTTAATTTCTTCCAGCATTACGTGGGTTAGTGAGCAGCGATCGTGTAAGGACAGGGGAGTGTTTACATGAGTTAATGAGCACTGAGTGTGTAAATAAGGTGTGTTTTTCCACAGGTTAGTGAACACTGATCTGTAAGTACAGGGGTATGTTTGCACAGGTTAGTGAGCACTGCCTGTATAAGGACAGGGATATGCTTGCACGGGTTAGTGAGCAGTGACTATAAAGGACAGGGGCGTTTGCACGGGTTAGCGAGCAGCGATTGTATAAGGACAGGGGCGTGTTTGCACTGGTTGGCGAGCAGCGATTGTATAAGGACAGGGGCGTGTTCGCCTGGGTTAGCGAGCAGCGATTGTATAAGGACAGGGCGTGTTTGCGCTATCCACACAGTAGTGAACGTACCCTTGTTTGGGGATGACAGTGAGGCAGTCTCCAGTCTGAGCATCCCACACTCGGATCTGACCCACCAGACAGCAGCTGACAAGCAGCATCCCGTCACTGGCCAGGCACTCGATATCCTGAGGGGGAAGAGCAGTGTAGACTGAGTCCGTGGAACCAGCAAACCCCACCATACCTGGGAGTGCCCTGCACTCTCCCCCCGCCTGGCAGAAGCCCCTAGCCAGTGAAGCTCAGGTAGAAACGATTTGCTGGCTCGGGATCACCAGAGCAATGGGCTCAGAGCTCAAGCACTGCACACACTGGCGCCAGTGGGCAGACTCCAGCTGCCTTCACTTTCAATGCAGAGGTGTGGCCTGAGGAGAGACAACAGGCCCCAGCATGCAATGCGGGCTGGCTGCTTGGCTCAAGCCAGAGCACTGCATGCTGGGACTTGTAGTCTCAGCTCCATACTCAAGATGAAGGCGGCTGCAGGCTGCAGTGTAAAACTCTCGAGTCTGCGTGTAGAGTGGGGTGCTGTAGTCTCCATGGGCCCCATCTGGCATGCAGGCGACATGATGTCCGGCTGCGCTCTATGGGTCATGGCTTCCCGCGGGAAAGGTACGGAGGAAGGAGCCCTGCAGCAGGCCATCCCAGCATGGTAGTCAGTGTGCTGGGAATCGAGCACATTTTTATGAAGCCCATCTGGAACATACCCACCTCCTCATACTACGGAGAACAAACCAGGATGCACTCTGCAAGCTACTGCCAGGAAAGAGGGGCTGAACAGCCCGGCTAGTGAAGGGCACCAGCTGGGCCAGCAGCCAAGGGCCCAGAGCACATCACAGACTGTGAGGGCCAAAGACATGGGGGCACGTCCTGCTCCACCACCCCATTGCCTGCCTGCGCAGTGCCCCTGGCCCCCACTAGCCCCAGTGAGTCACATGGCTCTGTGCTACATTACATGCCCACCAGTTCTGATGTCTGCGACTTCAAGGTGGCAAAGGGGGTAAGAGGTGGGTTGTGTGGGCCCCCTGCAGTGAGGCGCACTGGACACTGCGTATGCCCCAGGCCAACCTACCATGAGGTGACCCCTGAGAACCAGGGGGGTGATCTCGGTCTCGGGTGGGGAATAGCCGTAGTCGTCGCAGGGCAGGTCCCCTCTCTTCCTCCGGCTGTGCGAGAGCCCGTTCTGCCCATAGTTTTTGGGGCAGAACACTCTGTACAGGCAGAAGAGCAGAAGAACCAGGAGGATGCCAGAGGCCAGGCCCAGAGCAGCTACCCTGATGGGAGAGAAGGACGTTAGCTGTGCCAGGCCACCACCTCTGGCACACAATGCTCCCAACACAGCGCTTCCGAGGAAGCAGCTGCTCTGATCTGGACTGTTGCTTACACAGGGGGCTGGTTTAGGGCTCCCAATTTAGCTTCTTAACAAAGAGGAGAACTTCAGAGAGTCCAACCGCCTGCAGGTAGTCAGCTGGGACAGCGGAGGGCAAAAAGCACCTGCAGGTTTTAGGAGCCGCTGCACATGCAGCCTGGGAGGCATTTAAAACACCTGTTTACAATGTTAAAAAGGCGGAGGGAATGGGGGGTTAAAAAAAACCTTTCTCCATTGATCAGATTGTTTTAAATCCAATCAAGTGACATCACTGAGCCTGAAAGCGTCATGCAAATGGCTGGTATCAGTTTGTGGACTGAAATTTCCCCAAGACAAAACACCAGGTTTGGCTGAAATTGACATTTTTCCTGGGGAAAAAGTCAGTGTTGGCAGCATTTTCAGTGGGAAAATTCAGAGTGAAAAGTTTCAATCGAACACGTTAAAAAACACATCCTTTCAACAGTTCTGAATGGAAATTTGTCCGAAACATTCCACCAAAATGTTTGCGATTCTGACCTTTTCTCTCATTTTGGAATGAAAACCAATGTCGACGTGTAAGAATTTCCTGCAGGATGGAAATTCCGATTTCCAAACAGACACGTTCTGGCCCGGCCGCCCGAGAGGCTGCACTGTATTGGTTCTTGCTGCTCCATCATTCTGACAGCTACTAGGTACCTTATAGGAGAGCCCTCAGGACCCCAGACTAGGATCGGGGCCCTGTCGGTCAAGGCTCTGAACAGAAAAACAACACAACGCTTGTCCCTGCCCTAGAGATTTGATTCCTCCAGGCAGACCTCTTTGCTTGCAGCAGGATTTGAGCCGTGTGCTCAGAACCAGGCAGAGTTGATGGGAGCGGATGTGAATGCTAAAAAGGATTTGGATCTAGATTTTCAGTAGTGACTAGTGACTTTGGGTTCCTCCAGTTCGGAGTGCCCAGCCAGAGACGCCTTAAAGAGGCCTGATTTTCAGACAGCAGGTGTTCAGCACTTTCTGGAAATGACATCCCTGTAAGGGTGGCTCATGTTGGACACCCAAAAATGGAGGTCCCCAAAATCACTAGTCAATTTAGAAAATCCAGACCTAGTTCTCTGCCAGTTTTTCACAAGGAGAGAGCTAAAATCATGCAGGAATGCAAGGTGGGGAATAAAAGGCAAGATGGGAATCAGCACGACGTGATTTCCAGGTATTTCACGCATGCCCTGCTGATTAAGAACGCTGATGCTAGTGGAAAGCGGGCTCTCCACCTTCTCAAGGGTACAGTGGTTTCCTTTCTAGCCTTGAGAGTGTTGTCTGATAACTCATGAAGGGTCACCCACCCCAAAGATGCTTAACTCCCTTCCCGCCCATTGGCCTCACCTCCTGACACCTCTCTCTTTTTGTTGCTGTGCTGCACATCATGACTGGCTGGATACTGCGGTCTGGTAAAACAGCAGCAAGACTGCCCCACTAGCCATAGCTCTGAACGAGCAAAGCTGGCTCTTCAAAGTGCCTGGCTAACTGTGCGTGATTATCGCACGCACATGCAATGAACACTTACGCACACAGGGAGTTTTACCATCAGCCCCTTCGTGTCCAGTACATTGTGACAAGCAGCCCCACTTTTCCTGGGGCTCAGCGCACTGGCTAACAGCTTAGGCTGCTCACTGACTCGCCCGCTAGGAAGCCCTCAGCCTCTGAAGACCACAATAAGGGGAATGATTAATGTAACACTGCCCTAGCAGAACGGAAGCACCCGGGACTTGGCAGGGCTCCTTTCAGCCCTGACCGTATTCCCTCCCCAAGGAGACTCTGAGCCGCCAGGCAACCAAGCTGCCCATTCCGGGTGACAGAGGCAGGGCCAAAGGGGTGGATCACGGCGGACAGTCGGCTCTCTTACTTGTAGAGCGTGACGTCCCGGTGCCCCTGCAGTTTGGGCAAGGCCTCACCGGGCCGATCCACCGCCTCCAATTTCCCGAGGCTCGAAGGGAAGAAAGAGTGGTAGCGATTAGCCTCCTGAGGGTGGCGCACTTCTAAGGCTTCTCGTGGATTCAGGTACAAGGTGACAGGGATGGCTGGGAGGATGCTGATGTACCTGGGGAGAGGAAGGAAAGACGAGGGACCGGCTTAGGAACGGCAGGATGCAGCGATGGCAAAATCCCGTAAGATCATCTAGCTCATCCCTCCCTTGGGGCCACGCCGGGTATTCTCTAGGGCTTCGTCCAGGCCAGGTTTAGCTATCCCAACCCCTGGGGCTTCGCTACGTGCCTGGAAGAGCATTCCCAAGTCCACTGGGGCTCAGCTTCCTCCCTGAGCTCCCCAAACAGCCAGCACTGGAGCAGCTCACCGGGGGGCCGCCTGGATTTCAGGGATTTGAAGGCCAGAAGGGACCAATGTGATGATCGAGTGACTGTCTGTAACCTCGCCCCGGGAGCCCTGCATTGAGCTGGCCGCACTGCAGCATGTCTGTCATTCGCCCTTAGTTTTATATTGGCCTTTAATTCCAGATGGCCACACGCGCTCTCCGAACGTGTGCATATGGCCCCACTGCAGTGCAGCCACCTTTGGGGTGGAGGGAAGGCACCAGGCACACAACACGCCAAACACCAGTGGGAAGGGAAGGGCAGGGCGTGTTTTGGCCCAAGACAAAGCCCCATGCCGCGTGCTCAGTGATGTACAGTGTCCATGCAAGGCAGACCTGGCCCGTTTGAAAGGGCTGCCCAGAAGACCCACCCGCAGTGAGCTGCATGGAATTCAGTTTATCTGCTCCAAGGGTGAAGGGCTGAGCCAAACCTGATGGGATTCAATTCTGTGCGGACTCCAAGGGCTCTGGGCACCTGGTCTGCGACCCACTTGCCTTTTGGCCAGGGTGATGTTGTAGTAGCTGAAGAGGGATGGCCAGTGTCGGAAGGAGAGCTTCCTCCAGATCTCCTCATCCTCCACGCCCCACGTGACCTCTGCCTTTGTGCCAGGCTCCGGCTGCCCACTGCCGTGGCTCTCCGGTCCCTGGGCCCACGGCTGCTGATTTGCCTCCAGCCCATTCCGGGACTCTAGCCCTTCCTTCTGCTCGCGCTGCTGCTGCGTCTGGTTCTCTGACAGCTGCACGGGCTCCGAGGGGAAGACCGAGAGGGCGAGCTTGACATCCCCAGCCGGAAGGACACCTCCAGGAACTGGCATGGGAGGCAGTCCCGCTTCTCCCAGCGGGCTCTGCTCTGTGACCTGCGACGTGAGGTAGGTGCGGAGGCCAGCGGGATCTGTGTACACCAGGATTCCAATCCAAATCACCGTTCCAACCTGCACCGTACAAGTGAAGAGACAAGGCTGTTTAGTACACGGCACCCTCACCTCAGCACCATAACTGCACAGACACCAGAGCATCGGTGTAGCCAAACCTCAGCCACAGCCCCCAGAAGGTGCACCCCGCCCCGAAATACAGCCCTGATTCCTGAGACTCGGGCCGGTTTTGTTCAATATCTTCATTAATGGTCTGGAGGATGGCGTAGACTGCACCTGCAGCAAGTTTGCGGATGACACTAAACTGGGAGGAGTGGTAGATACGCTGGAGGGTAGGGATCGGATACAGAGTGACCTAGACAAATTAAAGGATTGGGCCAAAAGAAACCTGATGAGGTTCAACAAGGACAAGTGCAGAATCCTGCACTTAGGACGGAAGAATCCCATGCACTGTTACAGACTAGGGACCGAATGGCTAGGAAGCAGTTCTGCAGAAAAGGACCTAGGGGTTACAGTGGACGAGAAGCTGGATATGAGTCAACAGTGTGCCCTTGTTGCCAAGAAGGCTAACGGCATTTTGGGCTGTATAAGTAGGGGCATTGCCAGCAGATCGAGGGACGTGATCCTTCCCCTCTATTTGACATTGGTGAGGCCTCATCTGGAGTACTGTGTCCAGTTTTGGGCCCCACACTACAAGGATGTGGAAAAATTGGAAAGAGTCCAGCGGAGGGCAACAAAAATGATTAGGGGGCTGGAGCACATGACTTATGAGGGATCTGGGATTATTTAGTCTGCAGAAGAGAAGAATGAGGGGGGGGATTTGATAGCTGCTTTCAACTACCTGAAAGGGAGTTCCAAAGAGGATGGATCTAGACTGTTCTCAGTGGTACCAGATGACAGAACAAAGAGTAATGGTCTCAAGTTGCAGTGGGGGAGGTTTAAGTTCGGTATTACTCATAGACTCATAGACTTTAAGGTCAGAAGGGACCATTATGATCATCTGGTCTGACCCCCTGCCTGCTGCAGGCCACAAAACCGTCCCCACCCTTTCCCTGACTCTGCTGATGAAGTCCCCAAATCCTGTGTCTTAGTGACCTCAATTGGCAGAGAACCCTCCTGCTAGAGATCCCTGCCCCATGCTGCGGAGGAAGGCGAAAAACCTCCAGGGCCTCAGCCAATCTACCCTGGAGGAAAATTCCTTCCCGACCCCAAACATGGCGATCAGCAAGACCCCGAGCATGTAGGCAAGAGTCTCCAGCCTAACCCTTGTTAACCATTATACTGTTTGCCTACCATTGCTTGGTATTCCTCAGCTAATATGTTTTACCATTAAACCATTCCCTCCATAAACTTGTCTAACTTAATCTTAAAACCAGACAGGTCCCTCGCCCCCACCGTTTCCCTCGGTAGGCCATTCCAATATTTCACCCCTCTGACGGTCAGAAACCTTCGTCTAATTTCAAGCCTAAACTTCCCCACGGCCAGTTTATATCCATTCGTTCTCATGTCCACATTAGTACTAAGCTGGAATAATTCCGGAAAAACTTTTTCATTAGGAGGGTGGTGAAGCACTGGAATGGGTTACCTAGGGAGATGGTGGAATCTCCTTCCTTAGAGGTTTTTAAGGTCAGACTTGACAAAGCCCTGGCTGGGATGATTTAGCTGGGGATTGGTCCTGCTTTGAGCAGGGGGTTGGACTAGATGACCTCCTGAGGTCCCTTCCAACCCTGATATTCTATGATTCATGACTGACGCCCACAGACCTGGGCAGAGACTCACCCTTCAAAGAGGAACTGCAAATATCTGCAAACCACCCACAAAAACCTGACACTTGGGCTCCACCTGACACCCCCGCTCCTCACGTGCACAAGTGCATCCTGGGAAACTGGCTCTGTGTTGACAGGGCCCCCATGACGTGCTGCAGAAAACACTTTAACTGTTTATGTAGTAAAATTCTGCTGTGCCTGCTTCCCCACTGCCCCCACGACCTGAACTCTCTTTGGCCGGTCTGCAAGGGTCTCCACCCTCCCCTCGCCCAACCACGCCTGAAGAGCCACCTCTGCAGAGCGGCCTTCATGTTGCAGGGTAAGTGGGAATTGTCAATCACTATCCATGTGCGATATAAACAAAAAGAGATCACACGGCAGCACTGTCTGCTGGTCTGCAGAGCCCTGGAGCAGACACGTGCAGGTAGAACATTTTCCTGGAGAATCAATTCTCCGACAGCAGCCGCCCCTCTCAGGGGAGTGCCAGGACTGCTGAGAAACGAGGAGGCATAAGCATCTTTTGGGTGTCTGCTCCATGGACGTACAGCCAGGGCAGGGGCGCGTACGGCCAGAGGGGAGGTGAATCAGACAACAAACAGCACAGGGTGTACCATGATGAGCCGCTGGGCCAGCCGGGTCCTGGCAAAAAAGTAGATGACCCGCAGCCTCTTGGGCAGGCGCAGATTCCTGAAGGATGACGGCTGCAGGGTGATGGTGTGCGGGGTGGCTGGCCGCATGGCTGGCTGGCGCTCGTACCTCTGGGAGCAGCTCACTGGCTTTGCCGGGGGCATGCAGGCTTCTGACGGCAGACGTTTGTTCAGGTCAGCGAGCTGCCAACAGGAGAGCATGTGGGTTAGAGCCGCAGAGACTAGGTCCTTCCTTGAGAGAAACTAACACACCATTAGCTGCACACCCATCCGAGCCCAGGCACTGGCTGTTCTCACACCCAGCAGTGCGGTCCTACATCTGAGCGCACAGTCTCACAGATACACTCATGACCACGCCTGTCCTCGGTCTCTGGAGCTGCTCACTTTCATGCCCAACCGCCCTTGCTCCTGTTCCCCTGCCCTCCCCACTTACCCCCACATCCGGACGCCTGGCACACACGCCTGTCCATCCAAACCAGCCGGCTCACGCTCAGTCACGCAATGAAAAGCACAGGTGTGAGCTGTCCTGTCTCACTGCATGGCACAGCTGCTGAAAGGCCAAGCGAGAAAACCTGCCTCCCCTGCCCGTCCCTTACCTCCATCCGGCGAATGTCAATGGACAGCACCGTGGTGAAGAAAAACATCTGTAGGAAGAAGTCGGACACCAGGCCAACCACAGCAAAGAGGCAAAACTCCTGCAGGACACAACACGTCCACGGGTCAGCAAAGGGCTCTCTGAGCTCACGGCAAGTCTTCTAACCCCAGAGGAAGCAGCACAGCAAAGGCCTGTCTATGGCACGGCCATGAGTGTAGTCTACTGGCAATCCCTGTTATCAGTACTCTGGTTACCTTTGTGTGTGTGATGTTCGTTCTGGCGGAAGGTGCCTAACTAATAACTCTGGAGACTGTTTAGTCATAGGACAGGCTTAACATTCTTTGCACTGCTCATCCAAAAGTCTCAAAATACTTTGGGGAAACTGAGGCAGAATTTGTTGAGTCCACAGAGCAAGGCAGTGGCAGAGCTGGGACCTAAACTCATGACCCCCGATTCCCAACCAGGTGAGCTAGCCACTAGATCACACTGCCCCCAATCAGCGGCAGTGCCAGCTTTCTTGGCACCGCGCCATCCATTAGCCTCATGCCTGACCTGAAGGGACCTCCTAGAGCAGTGATACGGAGACCTCAGTGCTTCAGGAGCCAAATTAGCCATCAACATTACCCAAAAGAGCCACCAGAGCGTGACGCCATTGTTCCATTTACTCTAGCGCTCTGTACTCAGCCACTCCGCGTTTTAATCTCACGTGCTGCACAGAGCTGCAGGAGACACATTAAAGAGCCGCTTGCAGCTCCCGCTGTCCTACAGGGAGTTCAGGCTCTGAGGCTAGTCAATTACTGCTACAACCAGGCCAGTTTATGCCAGCTGTGCTGGCGGTTTTGTGACCTGGCCTTAGACCCCCAACATTCATTTCACCCTGTCCACCAAACAGACCATCTGCAGTCCCCAGACCCTTTCCATGGAGGTGGATGGATTCCATGAACTAACAGGTCTTTTCCATTTCTAACCACTATGAACCCGGGATAGTGACGAGGCTGGTTTCTCAGACCCCTTGCAATGCTCAGCTCTCACCATCAGGTGTCACTGCAGGAACAAGGATTACAGAAAGAAGAACAGGAATACTTGTGGCACCTTAGAGACTAATAAATTTAATAAATTTGTTAGTCTCTAAGGTGCCACAAGTATTCCTGTTCTTCTTTCTGCGGATACAGACTAACACGGCTGTTACTCTAAAAGGATTACAGAAAAATTCCAACCTCTCTGGGAAATTAACTCAGCCGTAAACCACAACAAAACCAAATATAACTACAGTCACCCCAAACCCAGCACCAAGTGTCCCGCAAAGGGCTCCAAACCAAACTTTCCCCCAGGGGAAGGCATTTCAGAGGGTGACTCTTCTACCATCTGAGGACCAGATTCCTGTCAGCATTTTCTACCACTGACAAGGGCCAGGGGACAAGGCGAGAGCATGAGTGATAGATAAAAGCCCCTGGAGTTACAACAGGTTCAGGACTGTGGAAATCCCTTCTAGGGGCTGCTGGCTGGAGCCCCTGGGAACTGCAATCTCACCCCTTGTGAAGCCAGCCAGGCGGCAGCCACTCAAATGGGGGGTCACCATAGAATCATAGAATATCAGGGTTGGAAGGGACCTCAGGAGGTCATCTAGTCCAACCCCCTGCTCAAAGCAGGACCAGATAGATTTTTGCCCCAGATCCCTAAACATCCCCCTCGAGGATTGAGCTCATAACCCTGGGTTTAGCAGGCCAATGCTCAAACCACTGAGCTATCCCTCCCCCACCAAGAGCCACTTGTTTTGGGTCCTCGGCCTGCTTGGCCCGCCTCCCTGCCTCCCATGCAGTGCTGGTCCCAATCCAGGCACACTGGGACGGAAAGCGTCTGGCGGTAACGGGGAGAGACTGGCTCCTCCAGGCCTTCCAATCTAACCGAGAGGCTTCCCCAGCCTGCCAGGGCTATTCTCAAACCCAAGCAACATAAACAATGGCTTGGAGCCGCAGGTGGAATTGGCAATTTACAGGCCTAGCAGGCCAGGTGGGGGGATAATTCATCACTGGATCAGCTGTCCCCTCTGACAACAAGGCCACAAGGAAAGGCAGCTCCTGGCTAGATATTCCCTCCTGTGCCTTCCCCAGCAGCTGGGCTGATTTTGGGAGGGGCGGGACACAGGAGCACAAGGCCCAAACCGCTCTCTAGACATAGGTCCAGAGGGAAACAAAAACCCACTGGACTTCATCTCTGCCCCCCGCAACCAGGGACTCCGCAAAGGTTGGACCAGCTCTGCTCTGTACAGAATTCCGCATGGTGCTTGGGAGCCAAGACACACCTGATCCCAGGAATGAGGGTAGTGAAAGACTACGAACCAGGCAGACCCTGATCCTGTTCCGTCTGCAGCAAAGCTCTCATGGATTCTAGTGAGAGCAAGACTGGGCCCTCAGTCTGTGACCGTCAGGTGTTTCCCATGAACAAGGTAGGCAGGGCAATGGCACGAGCAGGAGGACATGGGGCTATTCCCCAAAGCACCAAGGTGTATGCAATGTCTCAGGGCCTGGGGTTTCTCCGCAAGGCTTTCATTGGGCCACCAGCCCCGGAGAATGGGGCGTCCTGCACGTCGGCAATTCCTGGGAAGAGTATACCTTGTACCAGAGTGCTGCTGGCAAAATGGCTCCCATCAAACCCAACGCTGCTTTAGGCATGGGGAGAGCAGCAGCTGGGGGGGCAAATTCTCCTTCCCCAACTCAGATGGGCTGTCTGGGCGTGACTGAGAGGAGGCGGCCGCCTGTCCAAATGCTTGGAGCTGATCCCAGGCCTTGGACAGAGGGAATTCCTCTTCCCTCTGCTGCTTCTCTCTGTACCATGCGGTGCCTAGATGACTTCAGCACTGCACTGCTCCCTTTGGCAACCACGAGCGAAGGTCCCTGCCAGATTTATGCAGCCCAGCTCCCTATCGCCAGGGGTCCTTGGACTCTGTGACGCGAGGGCAGCATGTTATCTTTGCTGTGTCCTTCGCTCCCACAGACAAAGATAAGGGAGACACACACACCAGACTCCCGCAGAGCAGCAGCCACTCTTAAACAGACAGCATCGCTGTGGGGCTCTGCCTAGGGGAGCCAGAGCATACAAGTCCGCACCCAAGAAAGACGAATCCATGTACAAAGCACAGAATGGGTGTGACCACATACCTCGCGCCCCAACCTGGCACAAGCAAAAGCCATGCTTGCAACCTGCTGGCCAAGGACACACATGGGCGTGGGGCATAGTGGTACCTTCTTCCACAACCCCACTGACATGCCCTATCTCCCATTCTTCTCTTCTCTCCTTCTGTAAGAGGAGAGAAGAACGGGAGGAGTGGCAGTCTAAGTGAGTCACTGGATGCTGCTAGACGGGCATGATGGGAAGAGATAACTTGGAATCTAGACATCATTCGCTCAAGCCAGAAATGTTGGAATTCGATTCACTGTCTCACTGCAGCTCAGCAACCACCAGCCCTAAGCGGACCACCTGTCACGTCAAACCAAGCAGACAGCCGTCTGTTGAATGCGTCAAAGGCCCCAAATGAGAAGCAGGTCAGACAACAAGTTCATGACTAATGGCATCAGTTCTATCGGAGGAAGGACACTCGGCAACACAGAGAGCTGTTCACAGCCACGGCATTAGACAAAATTCTGAGCGATACTAGGATTGGCATTGCTGCTGGCTATGACAACATATTGCCAGTTTCTGAAGCACCTCAGGACTTATGCTCATCAGTGGCTAGCGCAGTTCTTCATGCGAGTAGTCAAAAGAAGAGTGAGTTCAGAAGACTTGGCGAATGTCAAACGTCATTGCTCTACTGAAACCGGGGAAAGAGCCACATAATGTTGCAAGCTACCCACTGATATCCCTGTTGGTCTGTGCCTTTCAAGGTGCTGGGGCGTCTCGTTCTCCTGTGCATCTCCCCAGAAGTGGAGTCAATACTCAGCATCGAGCAAGCAGGCCTTTCAGAGAGGTCGAAGCACCGGTCATCAAGTGCTAGCTTTGAAAACATTAATCAAAGACAGTTTTCAGAAGAACCTGAAGACAGGAGCCATATTTTTGGATGTGACAGCAGCATATATTATATCATTTGGCACACGGGGCTCTTAGTGAATTTGTTGAGAGCTCTCTCAGCATGGATAATCAATGCTGTTGACCTCTTCCTCCACAACAAACATTTCCGAGTACACATGGGAGATGGCGTTAGCACGTGAAAAAGACAAACCAATGGTCTACCTTGAGGCTCTGTGCTGGCATTGACACTTTTCAATCTGTACACAAATGACCTCCTTCTTGCCCAGTTCCGATAATTCTCGTACGCAGATGACATTTGCCCAGGCGTCCAAGCATGGTCATTCCCAGTACTCGAAAGCACCCAAAACACTGACTAAGATGGCTGAATACTGTAATCAGTGGCATTTACAACCATTTGTGACCAGGACAGTTAAAAGTGTGTTCAATCTTCACAACACCAGAGCACTCAAGAACTGAATATCTTTCTCAATGTTTTCATACCCTATAATTATAATTTATAATTAATGGAGATATCCCATCTCCTAGAACTGGAAGGGACCTTGAAAGGTCATCGAGTCCAGCCCCCTGCCTTCACTAGCAGGACCAAGTACTGATTTTGCCCCAGATCCCCAAGTGACCCCCTTAAGGATTGAACTCACAACCCTGGGTTTAGCAGGCCAATGCTCAAACCACTGAGCTATCCCTCCTCCAAGATCATGAGGGACCAGGTTCTGAGTACGGACATGCTGCCAGGCCTCACTGCTTATGCTGTGCGGCGATCTGGTCAGCTCTCTTTGAGATACGCTGGGTAAGACTCGGTCTAGGCTTGCATGACAGGGCTGGTGCATGGCCAGGACCCTGAAAGACCCCCTCCCTCTTGAAAAAGGTGATATGGGGACTTAAATGACCATGAATGCTCTACACCAGTTGTTCTCAAACTTAGTTCATCAGGCCCCCCTTTTTTGTGTCTGTAGTCATTTATGGCCCCTCCACCCCCACACAAGTACATATACAACTACCTAGCTCTGAAGGCGGAGCGGAGAGCAGCGGCTGGTGGCTGGGCACCCAGCTCTGACGGCGGAGCAGAGAGCAGTGGTTTCCGGCCAGGCACCCAGCTCTGACAGCAGAGCGGGGAGCAGCGGCTGCTGGCCAGGCACCTAGTGCTGAAGACAGCACCGTGCCAGCAGCAGTACAGAAGTGAGGGTGGCAATGTGAAAAGTGGTATTTGTCAATATCTCTCTTCTCAGCAGACTTAGTGCCCAACTGCCACCCTTACTTCCGTACTGCTGCCTCCCGGGGCTGACAGCTGCCTCCTGGTGAGGGACTGAGCGCAGGGGAAGGAGAGCCCATGCCCAGGCTGCCTCCCAGTGAGGGACTGTGGAGGGGGAGGAGAGCCCGAGCCCGGGTTGCCTCCCGGTGAGAGATTGGGGGCGGGGGGGAGGGAGAAGAAGAGAGCCCAAGCCCGGGTGGCAGGATTCCAGCTGTCCCCTTTATCCCTCCCTCCTGAGTGGGCACGGTCTTCTGCACGAGCCCCAGCCACCCAGGGCTGACAGCCAGAGCTCTTAAATAAAAGAACAAAACCACACAGCTCGCGCCTCCCTTGACACATTCCTGTGCCTCCCTTGTGAGGCCCACCTCATAGTTTGAGAACTGCTGCTCTAGATCTTTCTTTGACATCTCATCTGAAAGACAGCTCCACCACCAGTGCAGAGCCCCTACCATCGTACTGCGGCACTGGTTCAATACTGATTTCAATATCCTAGGGAAGAGTCTTACTGCTTCACTCTGGTAATACAATTCTGCCTCCTCAAAAGGGAGGCAGTATTACCTAGGGGTTAGAACAAACAACCTGCGTTCTACGCCTAGTGCTGTCACTACATTGTTGTGTGACATCAGGCATGTCACGCCGCCATTCCCTGCCTCAGTTTTCCCAACAGTTAAATGAGGATGTTACACATCCCAAAGATCAGGGGGTAACCGTGTTAGTCTGTATCTACAAAAACAACTTTCACTCTATGCATCCGAAGAAGAGAGGTTTTTACCCACAAAAACTTATGCCCAAATAAATCTGTTAGTCTTTAAGGTGCCACCAGACACATCCCAAAGTGGCACTGTGAGATTTGATGTTTGTAAAGTGCTTTGAGAAGGCACTGGAGAAGGGCAAAACACTATACATTTTCCTGTCATTCCAATTGGAGACAGGACTCTTCACTTCCTGTCCTAAAGTGTGGTGTGGTGCAGCTGTATACTGTAAAGCAGCTGTTGGGTTTTACCCCAGAGGTGGCTGCATTTCAATGCGGAGTGCAGTGATCCTTGTGTATAGAATGCATAAAGCCCCTTGAGATCCTCTGGGAGGTGCCAAGCCTGTTACTGAAAATCAGCCACTGGCATTGTGCTTGTAGCTGAGGTTACACACCTCTTCTCCACAAAATCCTTAACCGTTCATATTGACCAACCACACACACCTGGATGGCCGGGACGAGCGTGAAATAACCAATCAGGATGATCCCAAGCTCTGTGGCCATGTTCTTCATAATAGACCAGCTCTCATTGCTCAAGCCTAGAAAACAAAGCATGCTAGTGATTAGAACAGGGGACTGGTGCTCAGGCCTCCTGAGTACTAGTCCTGCCTCTCTGTGTGTGACCTTAGAAAAGGCTTTGTCCCTCAGCTTCCCCACCTGTAAAAGGGGGACAACACTCTGAGATCCAGACAGAAGGTACAGAGCCTCATTATGTATTATTATTACTGGAGACAGGAAGTTTCTGAGGTTAGAAAAAATTCATTTCCTTTACTCAGCTACCCAGAGAGACCAACCCTTGTAGACTAGGGAGCTCTGGGCCACAGCCAATCCACCAATGGGCGAGCCCCTCATTTTTGTCCATCCTTCTATAAAGGGAGCACAAGGCTTTGAATAATGTGCAAGGGATCATGCTAAATTCTTCACATGGTTTTTGGCTGATAACGTGCTCCAGTGCGAGCCATTCTGGCTGCTTGCCAGGAGCCCGACAGCCAGCCTGAACATGCAGGGAGCAGCCGGCCCTCGCTTTCCTACTTAATACAGAGCACCTGTCGGCACAGACTGTTGGACTATCCCAGCATGCAATGCTCCACCTTGAGCTAAGCAGCCTGAGTGCACTGCATGCTGAGCTATGTAGCCCCCACGGGGCGTAGCGCCAGAGTAAAGACATGAACCTGTCGTAGAATCCCATGGGGCTGCATGCGGCCTGCAGACAGCACTTTGGCCATTCATACTCTGAGAATACGTGGCACGGCCATCCCCGGGCCAGTGATTCTTTCACAGCAGCTTACGTAGCATGGAGGAACCAGGTCTGTGTTCCAGGCTCCCAGTGACTAGGGCACCCCTTGATGGGCTTACAGGAACTCCTGGGCTTGACAAGCAACAAGCTGAAGTGGCCATTAGGCCCAGAGTGCAGAACACACAGCTCCCACATAACAGCATCTCGGTCCAGGGCTGCTTCACGCCCTCTCACAGGCTAAGAATTACAATCACTCCCGTCTGGGGCCAGAGCGAATGGGAATTTCCCCCCTTGCCAGAGCCAGACGGATGTACCTTGTGCGATCCTCAGTTTCACTTCCAGGTCGACGGGTGTGGAGACGACT